CAATCTGACAGCCTAACTCAATCTCTAAATCCATTTCCACTTATCTGCACGGTACATTGTCTTGCCTATAAAAATACTCTCCCTCATCCAGTCCTTTCTTCAAACAATAACTCCAACACACTCTGACTTCCTGTGTATTTTCTTCTTACCAATCGACATTTGTCTTACCTTCCTCCCTCCCCATGGACATATCCACCTTCCTCTTCCTCTCCACCCCACATCCCAGTATAATACAGTCCATAAGGGGAATGACAAAAGGGTTAAATTATCAAAACAAGTGTTAATGTTTATGACTGATGTATGCTTGGTTCTGTCCACACTGTTATAACCAATAGAAATTCTCTCCCTATAACATAGTGACAGGATCCAACCCAATTAAATTGAATAGCTTGAATAGTATAATAGCTTTATACTGTTAAATAGCATACTGTACTAATAAAGTTACAGACATCAATGGAAAACAGAATGTAACTACACAGATCTTCATAGCAACCACAAAGTCTTCTCATTCTGTTTGACCTCAACCGTTAGCACCAAGAAACAAAAAGCTTTGTGTGTGTGTATATATATATTCACATATTTTTTATGTAACAAGGCAACAAAATGTGCCCCAAAACTCACAATTATCCCAAAGCAGACTGAAGGGGCACTAACACAGAGAAAATAAAACACCAGATAACAGAGCTGTACAAAATGATTAAAGAGGAGCTAAAGAAACCTGGCAAGTTTCAAAGACAACATGACCCAAAAAATGACGTGACTAACATACAAACTAACCAAAGTGGAAACAAGAGAAACAGGTAAAAATTGGAACAGCTGACCAAAATGATTCAAAACATGAATGAAAAATAACCAAAGATAAAGAATCCACAAAAAGGCATCAAACACAAAGATAAGAGATTGTAAAACAACTCTATAGATAATATAATCAATGTGAATATAAGGTTTCCTACATCAAGGACAAAACGGAAAGTTGTAACAAAATATACAGGGAAGCCTTAAACACAATAAAAGAACAAGAAAAATTCATGCAACAGCTACCAGATGATGGTAAGGAGACTCACCTAAGACTACGCAGAGTTAGAATGATGAGAAGATGCATACGTGGAACTAAAAAATGTATTTACAGAAATCATAATAGAAAACTTTCCAAGTATGAGGAAAGATCTGAACATATAGGTTACCAAGGCTTACAGAATACCAATTAACAGTGATGAAAAATGAAGCTCCCAATGACACACCATAGTCAAAAGCATAGATGTCCAACTTAAAGAATAGTGAAAGTTGTCAAGGAAAAGCAAAAAATCAAGTACAAAAGTCAACCCACCAGGATTATAGCAGACTTCTCAATACAAACTTTAAAGGCCAGAGGAGCTTGAAGTGAAGTGCTGTAAGTCCTAAACACAAATAACTTCCAAACCAGACTAACAAATCTGGCAAAACTATCTTTTTTAAAGTTATTGGAGATATAGGACATCCCATAAGAAAGAACATCTTAAGAGATACCTGAGCACTAAACCAGCACTTCAAAAAATGCTCAAGAACATCTTAGAAAAGGATAACGAAGTAAATAACTCCATAAAATCAGATTAATGAGTACATCAAGTAAGAGTAAATTTAAAAAAGGAAAAATGAAGGAGTCACTTAACAAGCAATAAAATCAAGGGAGGAATAAAAAAAAAATAAAGCCAGCTAAGAAAAGCCCAGGACCTGATGGATCCATCAGTGAATCCTTTTGTTGTTTTATCTTTTTGAGACAAAGTCTTAATACACAGTTCAGGCTGGCCTTGAGCTCACTTTGTAGTCCAGGCTGGTCTTGAACTCACAATGATCCTCCTGCCCCAGCCTCCCGAGTGCTGGTATTACAGGTGTGCGTCACCATGCGGTTTCCACCAATGAATTCTATAAAACCTTTCACGGAGGTTGTAACATCAATACTCTTCAAACTCTTTAATGAAACTGAAAGGAAAGGATTACTTCCAAATTCATTCATAGAAATGAACACATAAAGATCCAACTAAAAATTAAACTACATGCTAATTTCTTTAAAGAACACAAACATAAAAATCCTTAAGAAGACACTGGGAAATAGAATACAATGGATTGTCAAAAAAGACCACATCTCTTGACCAAGTAAGTTTCACCCTATGTATGCAGGAATGATTCAACTAGTACAATCATATGATTGTACTAATAGATGCAGAAAAAACATCTGACAAAATCCAACACCCATTCATGATTAAAAACTGTGAAGAAAATAAGTATGAAAGCATTTTATCTCAATCTGATGAAAGTCATTTATGACAAATCAGTGGCTAATATCATATTAAATGGGGAGAAGCTGAAAGCTTTCCCTATACAAAGGATGTCCACTGTTACCACGCCTGTTCAATAAAGTACTCAAAACATTAGCCAAATCAATCAGAAAAGGAAACAAATAAAGGAGATATGTACAGGAAAGGAAGAATTCAAACTATAATTTGCAGATGACATGATCCATGGAAGAGCCAAAAAACTACCAAAGACTCCTGGAATTAATAACAAAATTCAGTAATGTATCAGGATACAAAATCCACACATAAAACTCAACAGCATCCCTGTACACCAATAATAAATTCACGAAAATGAAATTAGGAAAACAATACCATTCATAATAGCTCAAGAAAAATTAAATACTTAGAAATTAACCTAACCAAAAAGGTGAAAGATCTCTAAAATGAAACTACAGTACTCTGAGAAAGGGAGATCAAAAAGGATATCAAAATGGAAAGATATGCCCTGTTCCTGGATAGGCAGAACCAATACTGTCAAAATGGCCATATTCTCAAAACTGAGATAGATTTAACGTGATTAACTCAAAGTACCAACAGCATACTTCACACAACCGTAGAAAACAACCTTAAAATTCATATGGAACCAGAAGAGATTCAAAATAGCAAAAGCTCTTGAGTAAGAAGAGTAAAGCAGGAGACATCACATCCCAATTCTAAGTTATCTTACAAAGTCACAGTGATCAAAACAGTATGGTACTAGCAAAAAACAGACATGTAGATTAATGGAACAAAATAAAGAGTGCAGAAACTACTCCAGGAACATTTAGCCATGTGATCTTTCACAGAGGGTTCCAAAACATATAATGGAGGAAACATAGCCCTTTCAGCCAATGGTGCTGGGAGAACTAGTTATCTACATGTAGAAAAAAGACTGAAGCTGGACTCATCCATCTCCATGTACTAAACTAAAATCAAAATGAATCAAAGATCTGAATATTAAAATAAAAATACTTAAGGGGCTGGGGATTTAGCTCAGCGGCAAAGCGCCTGCCTGGCAAGCGCAAGGTCGTGAGTTCGGTTCCCGGTACCAGAGAAAAACCAAAACCAAAAAAAAAAAAAAGACAAAATAAAAATACTTAGCTTGATGGGACATAAGGTTAAGTAAAATTCTTGAACATACAGACATAGGCAATGACTTTCTGAATAGAACACAAATGTAAAGAAATAGTCAACACGAGATTACATCAAATTAAAAAGCTTCTGTTACAACAAAGGAAACAAACTTCAGAGTGAAGAGACAACCTACATAATAGAAGAAATTCTTGCCAACTACACCTCAGACAGAGGACTAATATCTAGTAAAGAACTCAAAAAAATTAACCTTCCTCAAAATAAAAGACTCAATCAAAAAATGGGCAACTGAAATGAATAGACACATATCAGAAATACAAATGGTCAATAAATACATGAAAAACTGTTCAACATCTCTGGCCACTAGAGAAATGCAAATTAAAACACTGAGATTTTACATTACTTCAGAAAGAATGGAAACGATTAAAAAAATCAAATAATAAAAAGTGCTGACAAGGCTGTGGTGAAAAAGGAACTCTCCTACATTGCTGATGGGCTTATGAACTATTACAATCATTATGAAATCAGTATTTTTTTTTTCCAATACCAGGAATCGAACTCACAACCTTGCACTTGCCAGGCAGTCGCTGTGCCACTGAGCTAAATCCCCAGCCCTGAAAATCAGTATGGAGATTCCTCAAAAAACTGAAACTAGAAATTCCCTTTGACCCAGCTATTCCCCTACCACATATCTTCCTGACAGTTACAGACATCCTGTTACAGTGATACATGCATACCAATGTTTACAGCAGCCCTATTTAGAAAAGCCAAATCTTTAAGCAGCCTATATGCCTATCAACTGAAAAATGGAATAAGAAATGGTATTTATACACAATGGAATACTACTTTGCTATAAAGAAGAATAAAGTAGAACATTTGGTAGGAAAACAGACGCACCTTGAAAACATGTTAAATGAGATAAATCAGACACAGAAGTTTTAATATCATATGGTTTCTCTCATATGAGAAATCAAAGATATAAATAAAGATCAAAATAAAAGATAAAAGAAAACATGGAGATAGACGTGAAGGGGACCAGGAGGTGAAGGAAGGGGGAGAAGGAATAGGACAGAAAAGGACATAAAAAAACCCAGAAGATGTGTCATGTATCAAGTAACCACAATGAACATACTGATTATATGCTGCAAAAATGAAAAAATAAGTCAATTAAAAGTTAAAAAGGAAAAAGTTAACTGTGCCTATAATTCACAATATTGTTATTAACTAAAGTGAATAGACTTGCAAATGAAAAATTGTTCTAGGTCATAGGTAATTTTGGTCTCAGTAGTAAACATGTACTAAACTCTCAAACTTTTTAAAGAAAAAATCATTTATGAGTGATCTCTTCTTATACTAATAAATGTGATGTATAATAACTACTGAAATAACTATGTAATTGGTAATGGCCATTCCTTAACTGAAATTATCCCATCACTTAGAAATTCTGTTAGAAATGTACGAAGCTGTACTTGCTAAAAGTTCCTTTGTCACCACACATTAACACAAATGCATCCAATGATTCACACAGCAAAATGCACAGCAACTCTTTTCTTACAAAATTATAAATTCTAGGACAGTGGACAAAGGCTGCTTTACCTTCAGGGGCATCTGCATCACATCTCTTTGGCACAGAAAGGGTTAAATTGCTTTTATGGTCATCCGAAGTTACATTGCTCTGAATGATGAAAATACAGTTAAAAATGTAAATGTTACACTAGCAAATATATTTGGATTAAAGTATTCACATTATAAACCTTACACTTTTCTATTAACCACATGTAATATTCTACAAGTTAACTTTAATGCAAATTATGATCAGAAGAAAATGAATTATGGTAAATTTAATATGAGGGCTTTTGGAATAATCCTTTAGTTTCAATGTTAAGTAACAGAGGTCTTTCTTAGAACACACTTCTAGTCCAAACATGACATCTAAAAGAAATGGAACACTTATTTTTAGATAATTTTTATTTTTAGAATAGGCAAAGAGTATCTCTTGTCTATGCAAAAGCATAATCCTCCTTTAGTTGTAAAGAAATGTGTATTAAGCATGACATAGTGATCTAGCTACAGCAGATGAAGCAGGGAGAGGATTAAAGGGAACGGAAGTGAGAAACAGGGTTCTGGTGACCCTGTAGGGTGTTTCCCAAGCTTGGGTCATTCATGTACCTCCTGCAGGACCTGTGCCTTATAAGCTCCACCGACATTATTAATCACCTGGTATTCTTCAGGGAGCTCACTTTTAACATTTAGCAATACTATGGTACTGATTGGGGGGTTGGAGGGCTTGCTAATTTTTTTCTAATTACATGTTGAAGTAAAAAAGAATAGAAGAATTTCAGGACAAATGGAGTAGCCTGGGCAGACTGGAATGGAGAAAGATTCCATTAAACCAGCACACGAACAGGATGTGAACTGTTGGGAGGTCGAGCAAGAGGTATTTGAGGAAAAGGAAACAAACTAATCAAAGGTAAAATCAGATACGTTAAAATATTATAAATTGTCAGAAAATCCAAATGTCTTGTTCAATTAAAACTAAGAACCACAGTTGGCTTTTGAGCAATCCACATTAAAGAATTAGTGGAACAGATAACAGTCATGCTTAAAAAAAAGCCCATTAATGCATGCGTGCAGGCACACACACACACACACGCACACACCTCATGGAATACCTATCCTGTGGGTACATGGTAGCAATGAACAGACATAACTGTGCTCATCAAACTCCTTTTGGAAGTCATATTATTAAAATTACTAGAAATAGTGTTTTAGAGGAGGTATTATGAGTTTTAATGAAGTGCTAAAATAAAGCCCAACAGCTTACTGCCAGAGGATCCATTTAAGGAAAAATTATAAAGAAATTCTTTATACTATTTTTGAAAAGTATGAAGCAAATATTAAATATGCTCAAAAATGGAACAAAGCCCCAGCCTTAGCAATACTGAATTTAATCTGATGAGTTAATATGCTAGTCATCAAAATTAAACTTTACCTTTAAATATCACTAGCTTTAAAATATGAAAGAAATCAAATTTTAAATGTAGCACTTACCTCTATTAAGTAATTTTGACTTCCGTACATAACATACTGGGGAGCAAGACTATAAATCATGTAGCTGGTGTGAAGGACGATCAGCAGAAGTATCATGCAGAGAAATAAGAGTGCCTGAGGCCTGGTTCTACCTCTTCTGATTTTATATAACTGCAAAGAAGAAAGGGACAACACTTCAGCAATATATTTTATTTGGACAGCACTATGTCTGTTTTTGTATTATACAGTTCAATCAACCATTTCTTTGATGCAAAGTAAACACAATTCTTCACCATTTCAAAATACTGTAAGAATGAAAAAGACAATTCTTCCCCCATAAAGCGTTTAGATTTAACTTTATATTTAAAAATAATGGCACAGAAGCTATATCCAAACTATCCTATAAATGATCCACTCAAAACCCAGGAACCAGAGAGTTTATTAGTGCTCACATGGTCGCAGGGTTCCAGAAAAACCTTCGGAACTTACTGTGTGCATCTGTTAGAAGCTCCCAGAGCTGAGGACTGTGCAGTACCCCTATTTCTATCTACAGGTTATGCGTATGAGTTTAAAGTATTAGTAATATATTTATGGTTTTATCACGTATTACTACCAAGAAAAGTTAGGCTACATGCTTGAAATTATTCTCTTCTTATAAAATACCCTCAATACTGTGCTGAAAGTCTAGATTATTATTAAAATTTAGTGTAGGCTATGATAACCTGATTCTAGCTATTTTCACATCTATAACCAGGAAATTAAAATAAATGGTAATTTTAATATAAAGAACTAGGTGACTGACTACATTTTAACAGGGAGCCACACTTCCATTTTAGCAATTTAGGTACCTCCCACTCTCTTGCTATCTTACTAGATTACACAATGGTAGTGATCAACCGAATTCTAATTCTGGATGAGATGAAAATAAGATCACTTAAAAATGTACATCTCCAAGCTTTCCGTACACCTAGCAGTGGCCCTGTAATGAAATACTAATCACGGAAAGGTGACTGAGGGATTTCTGGCAATGTCCTGCTTCACTGAAAAAGGTGTATGCTTCTTACTTGTATGTATTTTTTTCCCATACAGAACATGGACAGGAAAAATGGAACTGCAGCAACCATACTGCCATGAAGACAGACAGACCCAAGAAATTTAGAGATGTTGGACCTGGCACTTTAGAGCTATTAAAATGATGCTAGATCCTCGCCTGCCCCCTCAGCAAGAAGTCTTTCACTAGTTCAAAGTACTACTTAACTTAGTTTTCTTTTATTCACAGCTAGAAGTCAGGTCTACATGATTTGGCTTCATTTTAAAATTGTTAAATTATTTCAAAACGAGTATAAGAAAAAAATAACCAGTCATACTGTTAGTGTTTACATCTAAAATGTCCTGTAAAACTCTCATGTTTGGAAGGTGACTGACCCAAGGGGTTATTAAATTTCTCAGTGGACTGATCCATTGTTTGCTTCACAGCTGTATGAGCTGTTAGGAGGCAGGGCCTGGTTAGAAAACGATGTCACAGGGGTTGTGCCTTTGGAGGGTTATAGCCCCTCCCCAGCTCCTCCTCCTCCTCCTCCTTCTCTCTCTCTCTCTCTCTCTCTCTCTCTCTCTCTGTTTCTTGGCTGCACTGAGGTGCCCACCTCTCCTCCACCAGGCCCTTCACCATGCTCCTTCTGCTGCAGAACCAGCCAACCATGGACTGAATCCCCCGAAAACTGTGGGCCAAATTAAACCTCTCCTCCTTTAAACTGTAGGTGTCGGGTATTTTGTTCTAGCAACAGAAGAGATGCCCAAGACACACACAAAGCTGGCCCTTGCTATTCATGAAGGATTGATTCCAGTACTCACTGTGAGGCCAAAACCTGCAGATACTCAAGTCCCTTATGAGAATAGTGCTATATGTGCATATAACCTACTTATAATCTACTTATCCTCCTGTGTAATTTAAATAATCTCTAGATTATTTGTAATAACTAATATAAATGCCAGTAAATGGCTGTTAGGCTATAGTGTTCAGGGAATAATGACAAGGAAGAAAGCCTGTACATGTTCAGTTCCACCACAACTTTTTCTAAATACTTTTCTGTCTGTGGGTGCTTAATGCCACAGATGTGGAGTCCACAGATACAGAAGGCTGACTGTAGTCCTCTGCACCTCCTAAAAGGAAAGGCTATCTTTTTAGATTCAATAGCTCCACTGTGGTTCAAGGTGTTCTCATGCAGCCATAACTGAAGAAAATAACATGTCTTTTAGATAAGGGTTTATTAACCTTGGCATTGTTGACACTTGAGGTTAGATTAGCCTTTGCCCTGTGTACTACAGGATTTCTACAGCACTTCTGGCCCCTCTTCAGGAGATGCCAGCAGCACTCCCACTGTAACAACTAAAACTGTCTCCAGGCAGGGGACGAAACCACTACTGTTCAAGAAGTACTCCTGCATTATCATGATGTACAAAAGCTAACATTCTTATCATGCTTGGTATCAAAGCCTGACTTATATATTCCTACATATAATTTGTAAAAATAGAGATCTTATGCAAAATAATGAAAAAAGTCAAAATAATAATGTAATATACTTACTCTAACCCAAAAGAACCATATGCCAATATTTCGAATTCCTGCCATTGAAGTAAAAATGAAGTACATAATAATAATTGTTATAAGAATATAATCAAGAGGGAAAACCTGCAAAAAGATAAAATCAAATTTAATATGTATATCATGAAAGTCCAAGAAGTAATGTGAAATAACTGAAAATTCATTATTTATATTTGACAAATGCTTAAAATAACCCTAATTAAAATTAAGCTACTGTGATAATACCATTAAAAGCAGAAAAATCCTCAAAATTCCTCAAACTACTATCAAATCATATAGCATAATTACCTTATGAGAAATCCTAAAAACAAATTTAACTACAAATTAAATTTATACATGAAAATTGGCAAATTTCACCTTGTATCATATAACATATGAAATCAAATTATGTCTAAAAGTCTAGCAACCTACTGATATAATAATCTTTAAAGTAACATAACAATTTAGAAATTATGTGCAGATCGAAAGTCATATAGCAAACAGCACAAGCACATGTCAAAGCAGTAGAAAGCTTGCAGCGTAAGAGTTTCAAATGGAAAGCAGTGTCAGAATGCCTGCTGCGATATAAAATTACTAATATTTTACTTACTGTTTGTAGTACAGGCAAAAGCATATTCAGTGGATTACTCAGGTTAGCTCCAAAAATTATGAAACCAGAATCGATTCCAGCTGAATGGAGAGCTTTATCTAAACTAAAACAAAAATATACAGTGAATCTATGTTATACGATTGCATTTCCAGTAAACCTAGAAAGAATATCAAATTTAGCCTACAAATACAGTTGATTAAAGAAAACCAAGAAAAACCAATTAAACCTCACAGATCTTATTCTATTAATAGAGTAGAAAGAAAAACTGTTATTGGAGCTTTCGGTCATTCTTTTGTTAATGCTATAGAACACTCCTCACAGAACTGCTACTTTGGATGAACTGGCTAATGGAACAGGGCACCAAAAAAGTATAATGCTATACAGAATTCGTGTAAGTATTTCAGAATAGGTGTCGTACTTACTTTGACAGGAAGAGAGAAATTACAAACAGCAATGCAACTAAGATGAAAAATATTCCCCAAATGATCTAAAAGGAAAAATATATTCATTACAATATAGTTCTGAAAGTTGTTATTAAAAGCACATAACCATTACGCTCAAAATGAGCTGCTAGCATGTAACAATTTTCTAACTAAAGTGATCCAAGATACATTTTAATTTATAATTTATAATTTATATACAGTCCCTGCCGTTTATACCTAAATTTTCAATATAAATTATGAGATCATTTGGTTAAGAACCAATATAAGTAAGAGAGAAAGCATGTAAAATGTTTTCCCTAATAAATAAAACTTTTTGATCAAATATAAAATTTTATCCCATTACACTCCAATATAAACTTCAATATTAATGAGAAGTATTTAAGACTAACATATAACGAGCGCACGTGCACACACACATACACACACTACCACCACCACTGCACCAAGAAACCAATCAAGTGATAGTTCCCTGTTAATTATAATAGGGAAATAGGAAATAGAGAATAGAGAACACTTTTCCATCGAAGTAACAGCACACATAGTGGTTAAATTACTTCACAGCCCAGAAAAGTCTACATAAGTGACACTATTCCTGATGTACTAAAGTAACTGTCCAGTAAAACAATGTTTCTGTAGGAAAATGTGTCAAGCTGTTTTTTTCTACTTTTCAACTTTTTATTGGGGATATAAGAATAAGGATACTGAATGTGTGTTTTATTTTTTATTCTCTTTAATGGTTTGATCAATTCTTCATTCTTACATCTGGTAATCTGAGCAACTTCATTGAAGATAACAATACGTAATACAACAGTCACTGTTAATTCCTATCATTTTGTTCTGAAACCCTGTATCATTTTTATTGCTTTCGCTTTGTTTTGCTTTTGTCTATGCTGTTGGTATTTTGCTATTGTTCTTTTTTTCATTATTCTCTTTAAAGTAAAAAAACAAAAATAATAAAGGGACTGGAAATGAGTTTCTAAGAAGCTAGGTCCAAATAAAAAACAGAGGTAAAATTTACAGTAGCAAGAGTTTAGGCTTCTTCAGCCCCTAATACCTTCCCTAAGCTCCAGGGACAAATTGGCCATGTAACAGGCGAGAGGAAGAGAAAGGAAAGTCACACAAAACACAGATTAAGTGCTTGGGGCTCCTGCTTTGCCTGGAATTGACAGAACTGGATGAATAAAATCATGAATGTTAATGTTAGGGAGGTTTCCATCTTCACACAGTTGCTCAAGTATATTTCAAATGCTAAGGGGATGAAAGAAGTGAAATAACCACGTATCACCCTACCGGGCATACAAAGATCATTTTTGAAAGTAATGCTAAATCTTTGTTCTGGTAAATTCTTCATTTCAGACAGAGCGACTGTGACCTTGTTGGGAAGGACAGAGTTAGCAAGGAGGAGGACCAAGGAGTCCACTGCCATCTCTTGAAATAGTATTTCAGTAAGAGCGTAGTAATCAGAATACTGCATTTATCTGTTTTTATATACTGAGATTCCACATGAGAATTCATTACTTAAAAGTTGTTTTAATTATACATAAATTTGTAATGACTCCTTCATAGCAGTAAGCATTAATTAGTAGGCGGGCATAAAGGAGTTACAGATTCTTTTTCCACTGGATTTGGGCACTTATATTTGACAGATGGGTAAAATGGAGGACAATAAACTCATACTGAGGATCAACAAGTGAAACATCACTTTCTGATGAGGTAGCATAACTGCTAAGCTCCAATTAATAGTAGAGGAATGTGACATAGAAATAGTACTTGAGGGCCACGGATGTAGCTCAGCGGCATAAGGGCTTGCCTGGCAAGCCTGAGGTCTTGAGTTCGATTCCCAGTACCAAGAAAAAAAAAAAAAAAGAAAGAAAAAGAAAAAGAATTGCACATGAAATTAAGATTCTCTTGCCCCTTGATTGTCCATTCTGGCAAAAAGTAAAAATTATAAAAGATCCTCAGCTTTCTTTCCAATCATTGGCATGAATGACCCAGAGTTAGACTGCTTGCTTAGTTACTTATCAAGACACAGAACAAATGTAAACAATGTAAATACTTTATAAAGACCAAGAAAATTGGTCATGTATAAGGACTTAAATTAGCCCTTCAAGAATTGTGGGCTGGAGATATATAGCTCAGTGGCATAAGTGCCTGCCTGGCAAGCACAAGGTCGTGAGTTCAATTCCCAGTACCAAAAAAAAAAAAAAAATTGTGCCAGTGATGATCCTAAGTCTAGTTACTATGTTACTATGCCAGTTTTCAGATTACTTTACCTTATTTTATTTTGTTTTACGGTGCTGGGAAATGAACCTAGGGCCTTATACATGCTAGGTAAGCACTCTACCACTGAGCAAATTTCCAGCTATAATGTCAAATAAGGTGACACCTGTAAAAATAGTGAAATAAAAACTTCTGAAAAAAATTTCTCCCCTAAAAAGAACACTAAGAAAACTTATCAGAGTCAAATTTTCAATACTCTGAAAATGAACAAAAGCACACAATAATCCTGTAGCATTTATTCGAGAAAACTAAATGCGTTTCTAACACAGAGCACTGCAGCATTCTAACTTGCTCTGGTCCAACTTCTGCCCTAATATTGTGGTAGCCCTGAAAAGTAGTCATAAAAGCCTAGGAATCACATGAGGAAGCAAAAAGGGGTCAAATCTCTCTGTAAGCTCCTACCCAGAGAACTGACATTATTTGACCTTCCTGGTGGCTGTCAGAAGGCTCCGCTTGCAAGACTGTACTGGACCTGCATGGCACTCACACTGTGCCAAAAGCCTTTCCCTGGAGTGTGGTCCAAAAAAGCAGCAGTATGAACTTCACGTTCTCAAGACCCAGTGAACAACAGACAAAATTAAACCAAGCAAAAGCTTAAAACTAAAGCCTATGGAATGAGATATCCATAGAGGCTTTGAAAAGTTCTGACATACTTCTGGAAACAGGGAAAATCTTGTGCATGCTCAGGGCTGCGAGTGTGATCGGCAAAGGACTGAGAAGGCCTACAATCCCACCTCTGCCCGGCACTGTGGTTCTGCATGGCGAAGAAACGAGGCCAGGCCAAGTGACAGAAGTGCCTACTAGCACGCTGCAGTAGTGAGCGAACACACAGAGAACCCTAGGACAAGACTGGGACACTTAGAAGTTCCAGCTGCTTAAGAAGATCTCTGTCCACTCTAACAAACCAACTTGGCAGGGACTACAGCGACCAGGACAACACGGAGTACAGACTTCACAAAATCAGTTCACAAAGCCACTAAACAATAAGAAATAATAATGTAGTAACAACAAATTACCTCGTGATTAAAAATTTTCAGGTTTTAACCACAACAAAGAAATGAAACAACAAAACAACCAACCAAAACAGGATGGCTAGAACCGCTAACAGAGCAGGGAAAATCATCCATAGGCAGTTTTTAGGAAACCTAGGCATTGGACTTACTAGACAAAAACTTTATCTGCTGTTTTAAATATGTTCAAAGAACTTTTAAAAAAAAACGTGTATGAGCAAATAATAGCAATGATGAGACAAAAAAATTATTTCTTTTTGTTTTTTTTTTTTTGTTTTTTTTCCGGTACCAGGGATCGAACTCACGACCTTGCGCTTGCTGGGCAGGCACTGTGCCACTGAGCTAAACCCCCAGCCCTGAGACAAAAAAATTATTTCTTAAAAGTGAACTGAAACCCTGAGGAAGAAAAAAATAACTGCAGTAAAAAGTTCACTAGTAATATTAAGCAACATATTTGAACAAACAGAAGAAAAGACAGCAATGTGAAGATAAATCAATTGAGATGACCCAATCTGAGGAACAGAAAAAAGAAAAGCAAAGAAAGGAGAAGAATCTTTGAGACATGTGGGATACCATCAAGCAGAACATAAGTTAATAGAATTTGAAGAAAGGGTAAGAAAACAACCAGAAAAAAAAAAGGAGAGAGGATGGTCAATGCCTTTCCAAACTTGATAGCAAACATTAATTTCTATATCCAAGAAGCTCAAACCACTCCAAGTAGAAAACTCAAAGACATCCATATATACACGTAGAAAACTGAAAAGGAAAACACCCCCACAAAACCGTAAGTGGGAAGAGACTCATCATATAAAAATAGTCCTCATTCCTTCAGGAACCACTGAAATGTGCAGACACTGGAGAAACAGGTGGGATAAAACAAGGTGAAATGAAGCTTGGGTGTAGCTCCATGTGCTTAGTATGCCAGCATCCCAAGAATTAAAACAAACAAAAAAAAGACTAGGTAAAGTAGGTATATTCTTAGACACACTGGCAAAACTAACTCAAGAAGAAAACAAGTCAACAGAGAGCTGTAATAAGTAAGACCCTGTAGGGTGTGTATAAATAAATACTTACTCTAAAATACAAAAAATTCTGAATTTTATTTGGATCAAGGATTTTTCTATGAATATCTGGATTACATTATTATTATGGAAAGAAGGCACATGTCCCCAAATTCCTATGTTAAAATCCTACCCACCAATGCAATGGTGTTAGAAGGGCTTTTAGGAGGTAGTCAGGGGAGAGGTTACGAGGATGAGATCCCCGTGATGGAATTCTGTCCTCATACAAAGGCCAGAAGCCAGAGCTTGCTGTCTTTCCACCACGCAAGGACACAGTGAGAAGGTGGCCATAGGCAGCGCTGTGAGAAGGAGCCCCCTAGAAAATGGATCTGTCAGCTACCTGACCGGGGACTTCCCGGCCTCCCGAAGTCTGACAGATACACGTCTGTGATCTAAGACAACCACTCTAACATAATTCAATAATCTGGGTTAGAAATTACACTAAATGCATATAACGCAATGAAGCTAGGTGGAATGAAGTTAACCTAAGTCAGATAAAAGGGATACAAAGGAGACAGAAAAAAGAAGGGGGGTACAGGCCTCAATACGGAAAAAGGTCTTTATCAATGGAGCAGAAGGGTATTTTCAAAACAACTACCATTTAAAATTAAGAAAAGAGCTTCGCTAGCTGGGCATAGTGGCACATAATCACCAGGAAGCTGAGGTAGGAGAATCATAGCAATTTCAATGGCA